TTTTGTCTTTTAGTTTGTCCTAGAGACTTGTTTCATCATCACTCAGCTAATATTACCCAATGCATCTCATTAGATGTAACTGATGACCACACACAATCTTCAAGCAATACTAGTAGTGTATTGGGACTTAGAAGACACAGTGAAGATGAATCCTCTGAATCTGTTTTAACTAATAAGAAACAAAGATTTTTATCTGAAGATGATGATGATGATGATCCTCCTCCCTCTCCTCTTAATAAAGGATATGATAAAAAATCAACTGGAAATAAACCACACAGAATAAAAACTGGACAGCCCTCTGGTAGTAATTTTTTAAATATCATTTTATTCAGATCATGCTATTTATATCTCTGCAGATGAGGTTAGGAAAATGAAACTAAATGAAGATCATAATGGTTCATCAAGAAGTAAAAGGTTTAAAGTATCTGGTAATGACACTACTGCAGAAACAACTATTGAACAGGAAAGCTCATTGTCTCATAATGCAGGTATTATGTCTATGGCAACTTTTCACACAAGATGTTTTCATGTCATGATATTAATGTTTCATTATTTCGTGTATATGCAGATATCCTGTTGGAAAAGAAGCCACAAATGAGTGATTTTATTAGTTTATTTCAATCTTCTGAAGCTCATTATATGCTCATTGGTAAAACACAGACTAATACGCTGCTTGGTAAGACTAATAATTGTCAAGTAGCGGGAACTTTACAGTGTATTGTAATATACTGTACATGTACATGTACATAGAGACTGGTTTAATAATAGAGACTGGTCATATTTATTCTTTCATATAGAGACAACAATTCAAAACGACAAACCAGCTACTAATTGCTCACCCACACAGATCAGTGGGTACAATGATGATCAACAAAAAGGTATAACCACTCACTGTCAATTTTACAACATATAAACAAACAAATACATGTACCAGTAAATAATTAAGATGAATATTGGTCTTATTTATTTACATGTATTTGTTTGTTTATTTATTTATAGTTATATTGACTATCAGGGATCTGGTAGATATTATACGAGTGTTAAAAGATGGTCACTTTCAAACTATAAAATGGTTTGATCTTGGTCTCTACTTGGGTCTGATTCATAATGATCTCAAGGTTATTGAGACTAACTATCCACGAGATGCTGAGCGATGTCTTAGAGAATGTTTAGCAAAATGGCTTACAGATGATATTGAAGCAACATGGAACAAAATAGCTATTGCTGTAGGTGAAGTAGGAGAGACATCGGTTGCTGAATATATACATGATGTAAGTGAGATTATATTTAATTAATAATAAATTATTGATTATTAATGTTTAATACCGTATAGCGGTTTTTTCAAGGATAACAAATTTGCAGATTTTTCAAAACTCATGAAATTAAATTCCTTGAAAATCAATTTAATACGATACAAGATGGCAGAATAGTGGAAATTCGCAAAAATTAATTCTGCAAACTTCTGGATGAGTCATTTGCGAAAATTATTATCTGCAAAAAAACCTGCTATACAGTATGCATGTACATGTAGAATAACGAAATCTTTTACAAAATTTAAAGTTGCTCTAAAATTAGACCAAAGTCCCTGTACAGGGTCACGGGCAAATTCTGCCATAATCTGCATTAAATGTTCAAATGGATGACCTGTTACCTAATCCACAGTCAACTACTAGTAATCTCATACTAGTATTCCAGAGATGGTTGGACTCCAATAATGATGTGACCTGGAGAAGTATTCTTCAAGTTTGTGAAGATTATCCTGATAAGCTTGGAAAAGCAAAATCTGACGTGGAACAATTTCTTTCATCAGAAAGAGCCCATAAAGAATATCTTAAATAAAATACATTACCTTTATCATTACATGCAATCATTATGTATAATAGCTTG